CTTCCAGTTATTGGGGCTCAGTAAGTACTTGAAAAGAGGGAGGATCCGATGCTTTGAAGCATTTCAGACTTGAGCTAAGAGTTTTGTCTTGTGGAGATTCTCAGGAACCTGCTTTAATGAGTAGATAAAGGTGATTTATGAACGACACATGAATTTCAGCAAGTAAGTGGTGCTTAGGTGGCTCAAAACTATTCAAGTGGAACAGTTGGTTCAACCTTACTGGACTTCCTGCCTTCTCCTAACTACACAGATAAAATGGAATTTTAACCAGTTTTCCCTGGAGACTCTTAAGATGCATTTCCTTTTATTCCGTTACTAAGTAACAGAAAGCTGGCGTTGGAAGTTGGTCTGAAGTAACATTAGCGCTCCGCTGATATCTTTCTACTGATCATCTACTTGGAGACCTGGAAGGATCCCTTCCCGCTTCTGCCTTAACAGTCGCAGCTTCTGGATTAGCGCCATCTGCGGGGGGCAGCCCTCGCCTAGCTACGGCCTTACACCCAGAGAGACTGGCACTTGATGGGCTGGCTTCTCCGGGGCTGGGTAGAGGTGGTTCTCCGCTCTGACTTCTTGGGACTTCTACTCTTTGCCCCACAGATGAGAGAACGTGCTTGGTGTCTTAGTTCTGATTCCTTTCTCATCTGTCCCTGTCCTGTCCATGGTGGTGATGGTGGTGATGTCAGCAACAGTTGCTTAGTCGATGCCAGGTACTTTCTGTAGCAGTCGGCCACGCAGCCGAGGCAGCAGCGGGGCGTGCCCAGAGGAGGGGAGCGAGGGCCAGGACGCTCAGGCTTGTCCCACGGCTGTAGGTGGCAGAGATGGGACTGGAACTCAGATCTTTGTTTCCAGCGACCATCCTCTTCAGCCCTCTGTTTCCCTGTCTTTCTGCTACAGCCCGTCTGTGGCTTTTGTTTGGTCAATTATTTTCTTCTCACATCCAGCCCCAGAAAACGACCTAAAGATGTCTTCTTCCTAAAGTATTCCTTGTATCACATTTTGGGATATCGTTATTGCCAGGGACTCTGGTGGCATCTAACCCTGTCCTGCATCTCTGCTTCTGCCCCATTGGTGACTAGATGGCTGGTGGTAGAGGAGAGAATGACAGGCAAGAGCAGTGGGTGGGCCCAGGAAGGGGAAGCAGACAACCTGAGGTGGGCAGGAGCGGTCTTTGACATAAGACGTCCTGCCTGTGACTACCCATGCTGAGAGGACGGCTGGCTTTCACTGAGAGGCTTCCTCTCCATGAGAAGGTTGTGGGCATCAGAGCCAGACAGACCAGAGAAAGAACCCAGATCTGCTGAGAGACAGGCTCACTGAGCCTTGGGTTCCTAATCTATAAAGTGGGGTTAATAATACCAACATGGCAGGATTGCTGTAAGGGTTTGAAATAATAGATGTAAAACCCTTTCATATGTGTGCTCAATAGAAGGAAGCCGTTATTACAGTAAAGTCACTAAGTCAGAGAGAAAACTCCCAGAGGGACAGTTCAGACTCCTTACCCTGGTCCATCCAGGGGCATTTTTGTTCCATTGCTGTGTCCTGAGCTCCAGCCGTGTCCTGTGGGAGGGTGGCACGGAATTCAGAGAACGTCAGAATGGGTCCTCACTCCTGGCTCTGTGATTTTCCGCAGCTCCGGCTCTATCTCCTTTTGGGAGGGCTCAGGGTCAGTGTGTACCTTCCCTCAGCCTGCTCCTGCACTTCCTCTCTCCCAGGCAGATACAAGGATGGAAACATTGTTTCTTTGCCCTCGGGAGTCTGGGGCATTCAGAGAGCAGGCTGCCAGTTCCGAGCTCGGCGGGGCCAAGGGCTTTGTCTTTGTTCCCAGCGGCTAGAAGAGGTGTGCGATGAGTCTGTTGATTAAGTGAATTGTAAACCTCTGAAACTATTTGTGCCCTGCCCACGCGGGGTTTCTCAGCATTGACTCCGTTGGTGTTTGGACTAGATAATTCTTTGTTGAGGGCTGTTGTGTGCATTGCAGGGGGCTCAGCGGCAGCCCTGGCTTCCAGCTGCTAGATGCCAACAGCATCCCATTCCCTTGTGAAAACCAAAAATGTTTCCTCCGGCTATTGCTGAATGTTCCCTGGGGGGCCACGTCACCCAGAGAGGAGCATCTGTGGCCTGCGGAGAGAGGGTTTAGTTAGGGTTCTCTTGGGAGGTTTAGGTTTGTAACATGAATGAAGTAAAAAGACTTTTAAAAGGTAGGAGAATATAGTGTAAGTGACACAGTACAAATGTTTGTTTCATGGAAACCCACTACGGACATTTACCTTCCAGGGGCTGCACCTGTTAGCAGAGCTGGGAAGAGGTGTGGGTGTTGGCTGCCAGGGCTGCAGCTGGGCCCTTAGCCCCCTGCACTGCTGCTTTAAGAAACAGGGTCGACGCTGAACCAGAAGTCCAGCACATGCTGGTCTGTTTACAAGGCAGATCATTTAAAAAGCTCAGCTTGTTTGCCCCTTTCAGCGTTGACGAGCATTGCTTGTTGATATCTGAGGTTCAGATAATGGATTTAAGCATCTTGGCATTTTTCAGTGACTGTCAGAATCAGATTTGGCTCACAGAGTAATGCCATGCCTTGCACGGGTCAAGCCAAATATTTACTACCTTCAGAAGTTCTGACAACTCTGTTTTGTTACTTTGAAACCTGGATATTTATAAAATGGGCAGCAGCTGGAAGGAGCCTTTCAGCTCACAGAATCCCGCCTCCTCCAGTGAAAAATTAGAAGGAGCTTCCGTGGAACCTGATGCTTCCTCTCAAACACCGGGACATCGGCGTCGTGAGATGTTCATCAGAATCGAGCTGTTGAACATGAGCCTGGCAGCTTTAGTGAGGCCCTTCCTCGCAGTGCTCCATCAGAAAGACTGTTCTAAGGGAGTTATACGGACACAATCTAGTATTAAAAATGGGACCCAGCAGCCTGTGGCCTGGATGAGAACAACCAAGGTCAGTTGCAGAATCCCATTAAGAGTGTACGTACGGCTTGACCAGACAGTCCAGCTGTCAGGGGTAAAGAGCAGGGAATGTCAGGCAGGTCGCCTGTATTCTGGTCAGGCTTTTGTGGCCTTGGGCAAGTTACCGGACCTCTCTAAATTCTGGCTTGCTCACCTGTGCAGTAGTAAGAGAATATTGACAGCTACGTAGGAAGGCCTGCGGGGACTCGGTGCTGTAATGAAGGTAAATGCAAGAATTTACTTCCATACATAGGAGCTACTGGTGTTGTCATGAACGCTTGCTGATAGGCACTGCCTAGTCCTTATTTTATTCGAGAGCCCTTTATGGACTCTGGAAACTAAACTTCTTCAAAAATGGAAAACTGAGAGGACTTTGTATACTGGTCTCGGGCTCAAGAATGTGAGGCATTAAAAAGTCCCCAGTGAACTTCCTTCTAGGTTAGGTGGTGGGATCCTCACCTTGTGTTTGTTTACGCTGGTGTGAGCGAGGTGAGCATTCAGGTTATTCTCATGCTAAACCATCATAAATTGAAGTGTAACTTCAAAAATTAGTAAAAATTTGAAATATACAATATTTTAAAATGAAAAAGTACAAAGTCCATGTACTCCCTTTGGAGCCCAGCACCCCACCCTCCACCTGTCGTGGAGCCCTGTGTACATCTTCCTCTGTGCTTTAGGTGAGCCGGGGCGTCTGTGCTGGGCATACTCATTTGGGAAGTCAGCTGAGCTTTTCAAAGGAAGAAAAGTCAGTATTGGAATAAATGCAGCAGATTTTCATATAAAAGCAATAGATTTTTCATATGACTCTCTCTTCAGAAAAAGTTCAAGGTTTTTAACCCCCCCCCCAATATTTTCATAATTTTAGCTAAGAACAGCTTAAAGGCCTGCATTAAACAGCAAATCAGTGTTGATCCAGCCAGTATTCCAGCCAAGCCCCGGCGGTTGGGATACCCTGATGGCCGAGGCTCAGGCAGGCACAGTCGTAGCAGGCGCTGGATGAGTCTCCCCTCCCCGCACTCCGCAGCATACTTACCTGAGGCTTCAAGTTGGGCAACAAAACGCAATCGTGGTGGTTATTGTCGATTTGCTTTTCAAAAAACCAGTGTCCAGATTATTTATAAACAACTAGAAAGGAGTTGTAAACCCAGTACTTTAGGGAGATTTATTTATCAGACTTCATCTGCTCAACAGGGGTCTCTTAGTAACCTCCAGGCTCAGAGCTGATTTCAGAGATGTGTTTTTGGTGTTCAGGTTCAATGCCCAAGGAGCATCCATGGGTCCCTAGTTCCAGGAATATCATCTGTAGAGCCTGCCACTTATGCCTCATGTTCAGCCCCCCCCCCCC